TGAAATATATACATATATATAACATGAAGGACAACAGCGGTTGTATTTATTGTGTTTATTGTGTTGGTCTGGTCACATCCTTTTAAGAGATTATATACACATTAGTACAAGAAGAGTTTTCCAAAGAACGACACATTCAAAACAAAATGACCGACAACTCTGGTGAAAAAAGATTTTAACACAAGTGTGTGTTTCCTGTGAGCTCTGCCTCCACGTCCTGTTTTCTTACACTGCACTTTTTATCGTTAAAGCTAAACGAGAGCGGCACGTTGACACTCTTATTTTAAGACCATTTTCCAGTTAAGAAAGAACAGATGCAGTGAATCAATAACTACAGCAGACAAATACAAAAAAACAAGAGTCCCTGGACTGATCAGTTTCAAAAACCCAGAAGAGTTGTACAAAAAGTCCCCTTTATTTTGAAATTTTATTTTGACTGAAAGAAAAACGGTATATTTACCCACATGTGCTATAATAACATGTTTGTGCTATAAATGTTACTTTGATTAAAATAATTTACTATTTCAAACTCAGCTGATTTTAACTAGTTACGACTAGATAACGCCCCCCCCATCAGAAAGTGGAAAAATACATGACTCTTCACCTTTTTATTTGACAATCAGTGAATGTTCACCAAACATCTTCACATTTCATCCTCTCACTCACTCAAACTACCTGATGTCCAGGACAGAGAAAACAGGACAGGTGAGGATTTAAAACAATCTCACTGCACGCCAGTGACTGGAAGAGCAGCTGTGAGGCGCCGAGGCGTCCTAAGGCTCGCAGATCAGCGTCTCCACGACAAACGTGTTCTCGAAGTGACGGATCTTGTGGCAGTTGAGAGCTTCACGCTTCTGCATGCCTGTTGAGACAGAGAGACACGTGGTTAACGTTCTGCTTCCTGTAATGGTTGGGACGGTGTCCCTCAAGGATCCATGTTCGGGCCCCTGCTGAAGACATTTAACTTCACCGTAGAAAATATATATTTAAATGAGCGTAAACAAGTTAGCAGTGGTTCATAAAGATAAACGACACAATGAGTATAACGCTGCAGAGAGTGAAATTTGTTCCTACCCAGAATCCTGTCTCTGCGCTGCAGCTTGAACGTGTCTTTGCCACGGCAGAGGTTGTAGATGAAGTAGCCGAGCTGTTCAACGTGCTCCAGGCGCTCTGTCACTATCATCTCCTCATGGACCAGGTAGGACTGGGGCAAGTAGGTCCCGGCCTGGAAACGAGAGGACAGAGGAGGACAGAGGAGGACAGAGGAGGACATGTCATAAGTAAATTAATAATGATAAATCATGATGGTCACTGGATTAAAGGTGAAATGTGTGTAATGGGGGGGGGGGTGCATTACCTTGACATTGACGAGCAGCTCCAGGAAGTCTCTGGGAGGCATGACGATGGAGGTGTTGAGCGGGATGACGTAGCATTTGTTCAGACTCAGATCCAGGTAGGCGGTCAACCTCTGAGACAGAAGACAGACATAACTTTAATGATTTAGTTACAGGACATCAGGTCGGTCAACACAGATCACTTTGACCGTTCAAACAGGAAACTGCGTCCTCATCAGGTGTCTGCCGCGTCTCACCCTCTGGAAGTCGTGGACTATGTCTGCTGGGTCTCCGTCGTCGAACTCGGGCACGGGAACGTTGATGAGCTCCACCTGCTCCTTCTCCAGCACCCGGATCCTCTCCTGCAGCTGCCGCATTTGGAACTGGTTCGGCAGGTCCACGTCCACCTACAGACCAGCGACACCAGTTAACCAACCAGTTAACCAACCAGTTAACCAACCAGTCAGTGGTTCATCGTTTACTTATTGAAGCGGCAACTTTTGGTTTGAGCTTTGAAACGTCCTCTGCCTGGTTGTCTGTCTTTGTCAATCGGGGGAGTTTCAGTCTACATTCATGAGGTCACTGTGACCTTTGACCTCTGAAATCTAATCTGAGAAATTCCCTGAGTTCAGAGGCTGTATCTGTCAGCGGCTGGATTTGAACAGTGTCACAGCAGCACGTCTCCACTGTCCCGTCTTCAAGGCTCCTTCAGCTGCGACCGGCAAATGTGTCCTTTCGTCCTCTGGGGGCAAACTATCCCAGAATTCATTGTGTTTCAGTGACGGACCGATCTTCAAAAAGTAAATGGCACAAGCAAGTCAGGAGACGTCCGATGCTAAGGTATGATGCTTGAACTCAACCGAACAGTGCACGTTAACAAAAACACTCAATGAAAACCTTGTGTCTAAGTGCAGATTTGTTGCTCGGCAACAGCAATGAGGGCTGAGACTAAGACTGTAGAGGACGTGTGACAGTTTGACCTCTAAGGTCTACACAGCCCTCGAAGGTCGTCATCTTCGACGTATCCTTTATGTTCATGAGACCAGTGGAGATGAGTGTGTGTGACGGTGTTGTATCGTACCTCCTCTTCCTCTCGGATCATGAAGTCTCCCTCGCGGTAGTGAACTCCGCACACAAACACTGGAGTCTCCTGCAGTGACGAGGGGGAAAAGGAAAACGAGTTGTTTTCAACAGGAAGTGCAGCAGCAGCAGCAGCGACGCAGCAAAATTCCACTCAGTTTGAAACACACAACATTTGTTTCTTCCCAAAACATCCACACAGACAAGATATTTATTATTTTTCTTTTCTCCAGTTGGATGAGCTCCGCAGCCTCGTGCTGCGTCATCGTCACGCCACCCGAACATAGAAAACAAACTGGAATAAACCATCAGACGTGTTTAGACATGTGGCTTCACTCTCTCGACCGTCGGGTGGAGTCGGGCGTGAAGCAGCTCACAGAAACAGTTTACCTGTCGGAACCTGTCGCCCCATGTCGGTTCATATTTCCTCCTGCAACGTGTGATTTACATTTTCCATCTTCGCGGCTCGATTACGCAAGAGAATTGATTTTTATCAGGAAACAAGGAGGAAACAAAGAAAATCCTCATCCTTCATTATTATGATTGTTAATATTCAACATGTCTGACACATGAAGTCATTCACAGAGAATCTGTAACTGTTATTTACTGAACAAAGCAGAATGTGTGTCTATGTTTTTTCATAAAACAGTTCTATAAATGTGATGTCATGTGAATCACAGCCGATTCCTTGGCTTCTCTTGTTGTTG